TTCAAGTAATTTTTTAAAAGAAGATTACTAGACTATCTCCCTCATTTACTACTGATTAAAAATGGCCTTGTTAGATTCAGGCAAGAATCAGCAATGCATGCTAAATCTAGAAGATAAATTTTTTATTTTTAATTGCGCTATAATTGACACATAATAGTATCTTAGTTTCAAATGTACAACATGATTTGATATTATGTATATATTATGAAACAATCAGTAGTCAACATCTGTCACCACACATCATTAGAAATTTCTGTGTGTGTTGAGAACTTTTAAGATCTACTGTATTAGCTACGTTCAAATACAGAATACAGTATTAGTAGCTACAGTCACTATACTGTATGTTACATTCTCAAGGCTTATTTTATTTATTTTATAACTGGAAGTTTGTACCTTCTGATCACCCTCACCCATTTCATTCATTTCCCACCTCCTGTCTCTGGCAACTACAAATCTGTTCTCTGCACCTATGAGTGTGGCGGGTTTTTTGGTTTTGGTTTTGGTTTTGGTTGGGATTCCACATATAGTCAGATCATATGGTATTTGTCTTTCTCTATCTAACTTTTCTTACTTGGCATCAAACCCTCAAAGTCCATCCTGGGACTCTGACCAGCTGCCTGTTCCAGCACCTCTTGCTCCAGCTTTGCCTTTTACTAGGGCTGAGATGCTGTTGTCAGGGGACTGCACATACCTACAGGGATAGGAGCTAGCTCAGACTGACCCTCAGGGCTTGTGCTCCGGCACCTTAGATAGAGTAGTGACTGCCTTTGAAGGAACACAGGAAAAGCCCCAGCTCACACCTGGCTCTGGCTGTAGCCCCTTCACCTCCAGCCCTACCTCCCATCAAGGTGGTAGCTGCCAGCACGCCCCAGGAAAAGTCATGACCTGTGTTCACTTCAGATCTAGCTCTCCCATCAAAGCAACTGGGCACAAGCAGACTGTATAGGGATGGTCCCACACAAGGACACTCCTTCAAGATTGTGATAGGTAACTGTTTCACATAATTTCATAGAGAAAGAGAAAGTTAAACAAAATGAGAAGACGAATATTTTTCAAATGAAAGAATAAGAAAAAAACCTGAAACAAACTCTAATGAAACAGAGATAAATAACTTATCAGATTAAGTAAGTGTTCAAAGCAATAGTAAAAAGAATGCTAACTGAACCTGGGGAAAGAATAGATGAACACACTGAGAATTTTAACAAGGAACAAGAAAATATAGAAAAGAACTAGTCAGAACTGAAGAACACAAAAACTGAAATGAAAAATACACTAGAAGGAATGAACAGCAGATTAGGTGATAGAAAACACATAAGTGATCTGGAAGACAGAACAATAAAGATCACTCAATCAAACAGCAAAAAGAAAAACACATTTTAAAAAATAATGATAGTTTAAGAGACCTCTGAAACATCAAGTGTACTAACATTCACATCACACAGGTCCTAGAAGGAGAAGAGAGTGAGAAAGGGGTAAAAAATATATCTGATGAAATTATGGCTGAAAACTTCCTGAAACTGATGAAAGAAACAGATTTCCAAGTACAGGAAGTACAGAGAGTACAGAGAGTCTCAAACAAGATGAGTCCAAATAGACCCACACCAAGACATATTAAAATGTCAAAGTTAAAGACGAAAAATTTAAAGGCTGCAAGAGAAAACCAGACAGTCACATACAAGGGAATCCCCATAAGGCTACCAGCTGCCTTTTCTGCAGACACTTTACAGGCCAGAAGGGAGTGGCATGATATATTTAAAGTGCTGAAAGGAAAAAACCCACAACCTGGGATGCTCTATCAAGCAAGGTTATCATTCAGAAGTGAAGTACAGATAAAGAACTTCTCAGACAAGCAAAAATGAAAAAGGTTCATCAATACTAAACCAACCTTACAGGAAATTTAAAAAGGTCTTCCTTAAGTGGAAAAGAGAAGGATACAAGAAGAATTTATAGGGGAAAAAATCCCACTAGTAAAGGCAAACATATACTAAAGGCTGTGGATCAATCACTTAAATAAGCTAGTATGAGGAACAAAAACCAAAAACACTATAAAAGCAACCATAACTACAACACACAGTAAAGGGAGACATGAAGATGCAAAATATGATATCAAAAACACAAAACACGGGAGAGGGGAGCAAAAATGTATATCTTTTGAAACATATCTGAACTTATAACACATCAGTTTAAATCAAGTAGATATAATTATGGGACAACGTATATGAACCCCATGGTAACCACAAATCAAAAACCCAGAATAGATACACAAAAACCGGTACAAAAGGAACCCCAGCATTTTACAAAAGAAAATCATCAAACCACAACAGAAGAAACAACAAGGAGAAGAAATGAACAGAGAAGAATTACAAAAACAACTGGAAAACAAGTAATAAAATGGCACTAAGTACATACCTATCAATAATTACTTTAAATGTCAATGGACTAAATGCTCCAATCAAAAGACATAGATGGCTGACTGGATAAAAAAAAACAAGACCTTTAAATATGCTGCCTACAGAGACTCACTTCAGGGCTAAAGACACAAACAGAGTGACAGTGAGGGGATGGAAAAAGATATTTTACGCAAACAGAAACGACAAGAAAGTGGGAGTAGTAATACATATTAGATAAAAAAGACCTTAAAACAAAGGCTATGACAAAAAAAAGACCATTATATAATGATAAAAGGAACAATACAGGAAGAGGACATAAGATTAATTAATACATATACATAATATAGGAGCATCTAAATATATAAAGCAAATATCAACGGACATAAAGGCAGAAATTGCCAAAAGCACAACAACAGTAGGAGACTTTTAACACCCCATTTATGTCAATGGACAGATCATGCAGACAGAAAATCACTAAGGAAACAGTGGCCTTGAATGACACATTAGACCAGTTAGAATTACTAGGTATCTCTAGGACATTCCATCCCAAAACAGCAGGATACAAATTCTTTTCAAGTGCACATGGAACATTCTCCAGGACAGATCACATGCTAGGCCACAAAATGAGTCTCAACAAATTTAAGAGGACAGAAATTATATCAAGCATCTTTCCGAATCACAACAGTATGAAACTAGAGGTCAATTACAGGAAGAAAATTAGGAAAAATACAAACATCAAGACTAAAAAAACCAATGGATCAATGCAGAAATCAGAAAATACCCCAAGACAAATGAAAATAAATGTCCAACTTTCTGAAATCTATAGGGCACAACAAAAGAAGTTCTAAGAAACTGTGTAGTGATACAGGCTCACCTCAAGAAACCAGAAAAATCTCAAAACCTAACCAATGATCTAAATGAATTAGAAAAAGAAGAACAAAGCCCAAAGTCAGAAGAAAGGAAATAATAAAGATCAGAGTGGAAATAAATAAAATAGAGAGAAGGGCAGAGAAAGGGAGGGGAGGGGAGGGAAGGGGGAAGGATCAAAGAAACCAAGAGCTGTTTTTTTGAAAAGATAAACAAGTTGATAAGCCTTTGGCCAAGCTTATTAAGAAAAAGAGAGGATGCAAATAAACAAAACGAGAAATTACAATTGCTATCACAGTACAAAAAAAGCAGAAGGGAATACTATGAACAGTTACATGCCAACAAATTGTACAACCAAAAAATTAAAAAAGGACGAATTCCTAGAAACTATACTCTTCTAAAACTGGATCAAGAGAAATAGATAATCTGAACAGACTGATCATGAAGTTCAATCAGTAATCAAAAAACTCCCAGCAAACAAAAGTCCAGGATTGGACAGCTTCACAAAGAAATTCTATCGAATATATAAAGAGGAGTTAATACCTATCCTTCTCAAACTATTCCAAAACACTAAAGAAGAGGGAACATTTCCATATTATTCTGAGGCCACCATTACCCTGATACCAAAACTAGACAAAGACACTACAAAAAAAGAAAATTACAAGCCAATATCTCCGATGAATATAGATGTAAAAATCCTCAACAAAGTACTGGTAAGCCAAATTCAACAATATATAAAAAGGATCATACATCATAGCCAAGTTAGATTGATTCAAATGATGAAAGGATGGTTCAATAACCACAAATCAATTAATGTGATATACCACAATAATAAAACAAGGTATAAAAATCACACGATCATCTCAATAAACTCAGAAAAAGCATCTGACAAAATTCAATATTCATTCATGACAAAAACTCTCATCAAAGTTGATATAGAGGGGACATATCTCAACATAATAAAGGCCAATTATGACAAACCCATAGCTAACATACTCATTGGTGAAAAGCTTTTTTTCTAAAATCAGGAACAAGACAAGGATACCCACTCTGACCACTTGTACTTAACATAGTACTAGAAGTCCTAGCCATGGCAGACAAGAAAAAGAAATAAAAGGAATCCAAATTGGGACTGAAGAAGTAAAACTGTTAACTATTTTCAGATAACATGATACTACATATAGAAAACTCTAAAGTCTCTACCAAAAAACTATTAGAACTAATAAATGAATTCAACAAAATTACAGGATATAAAATTAGTATACAGAAATCTTTTGCTTTTCTATGCACCAATAATGAACTATAAGAAAGAGAGAGCAAGAAAAAATCCTGTTTAAAATCACATCAAAAAGAATAAAATACCTAGGTATAAACTTAACCAAGGAGGTAAAAAAAAAGACTTATATTCTGAAAACTAAAAATAGCAATGAAGAAAATTGAAGATACAAAAAAACTGAAAGATATCCCATGTTCATGGATTATAAGAATCAATATTGTTAAAATGTCCATACTACCCAAAACAATCTACAGATTTAATGTAATCCCTATCAAAACATCCATGACCTTTTTCACAGAACTGGAACAATCCTAAAATTTATAGGGAACCACAAAAGACCCTGAACAGCCAAAGCAATTTTGATAAAAAAGGATAAAGCTGGAGGTATCATGCTTCCTGGCTTCAGGCTATACTACAAAGGTACAATAGTCAAAACAGTATGGCACTGGCACTAAAACAGACACATAGATCAGTGAAACAGAATAGAAAGCCTAGGAATAAACTCAAGCACTTATGGTCAATTAATTTATGACAAAGAAAGCAAAAATATACAGTGGGGAAAAGAAAATCTCTTCAGTTAAGTAATGCTGGAAAAATTGGACAGCTACATATAAAAAAATGAAATTAGAACACTCTCTCACACCATATACAGAAATAAACTTGAAATGGATTAAAAACCTAAATGTAAGACCAAGGAGGGAGGGTGTAGCTCAAGCAGTAGAACACATACTTAGCATGCTCAAAGTCCTGGGTTCAATCCCCAGCACTTCCTCTAAAAATAAATAAATAAACCTAATTACCTCCCCATGCCAAAAAAAAAACTTGATTAAAAAATAAATAAATAAATAAATGTAAGACCAGAAACCATAAACTCCTAGAAGAGAACACAGGCAGATCATTCTCTGACATAAGTCACAGCAGTATTTTTTTTAATCTTTCTCCTTGGGCAAAGAAAACAAAAGCACAAATAAACAAATGGGGCCTAATTAAACTTAAAAGCTTTTGCACACACCTGAAAATACACCAAGGACAAATAGCCAGACTGTATTATACTCTGCAGATTCACAGTATCTAGCTTCAATCGTGCCTCAGTACTATACTCACATCCTTTTATGCATTCGTAGTTCACTTCCTATCAATAATCACCAGAGAGGCTGTGTCAAAACTTGCCATTCTCTTGAAGACTCCAAATCCTCCCATGCTCCCTGACTCTCAATAACTGACCTCTCCATTTAATTTACCAAGAAGATCAAGGTTATTCTATTTCAATTCCCTCATTTCCATCCTCCATTTCGGTTTATACCAGCACACATTCTTTCCATTCTAAGAAAAAGGGTCTCTCCTTCCTTTGTTACCCTTTAGACAAAAGTGTGTTAGTATGACATAAGATCTAGGTTTGCTGTAATTGCTTCCATTTTCCATTAAAGCTAAAACTCAATTTAAAAAGTGCTTTGAAAAACTGCTAAATACATGTAAATCATGCAAATGTTGGAGAGGATAAGCAGTAATACTCTGATCAACCTATTCAATTAACAAATTAGCATTGCACAGTTTTACAATATCCTTAGAAAAAGAAATTTAAAATTCCAGAATGGCATTTCCAGAAACATTAAGTTCATCAGCTAGTTTCATTTTTGGAATTGAACTGTTAAGCCTAAGCAGCAGGAGAAAGAAATCATCAGGAGAGACCTTAAACACATCTAACATATAAATTACAACTACATTTCTTTATTGTTCAGCATTAAACATATTGCATCACGATTTTTTGCAAATAATTTTTAAGTTATTTTAATACCAGCCTGAGCCAGTTCCACATTAAAGGCTCTCAGTGCAAACGCAGAGCCTCTGGATTCTGCAGGGAGCAGCAGGGAACATAAATAGCCTTCATAATCTCGTTTCCTATAACAAATAAGCAAAAAAAGATAATTACTTTTCACTTTTCAAACTGCACACAAAAAAATGCTGACCAAAATGAACTGAAAACAAGGCTTCAATTCAAAATAGGCCTAAAATTTCTTATATTTTATATCTGTTTCTCTACAATTACGAAAAATGTATCTGCCCCCAATCCTAGCCCAGTGAAAAAGAAATCAATCTCTATTAATTTATTCTGACTTATATAATATGTACACATTTACCTGTTTCAGAATCACTTTGCTTTTAGTAAGAATTCAAATGAGCTACAGACACATGAACTCATGGTTTTGAATGCATAGATATAAAAACAGAGAACAATATGGGCGGCGGGGGGAGGGGGGTGGTTGTTACAGCGTCTGCTGAGAGAGCCTAGAAGCAATGATATCCCCCTCCAATACCCCTAGTGTCAGACCTAACACCTAGATCTCGGTTCCTCCACTGAAAGAAATGAGGGCTCTTTGGAGGAATAACTGGCTTCAGGGCTGGTGCAGGGAAAATACAAGATAAGCTTGAAACATCTTAAGCAGAAAGTAAAGAAATATTCAAAGAATGGAGGGACTTGCCAAAAGGACAAAGAAATTGGCTTGACAAAGTTTTCACTGACCAAGTCTGGGACAACTGAGCACCAAAAAAATAATGACAGTAAGAGATTGTAACAGGACTCCACGAGCCCATACTAATATAAATGAATGAATAAATAAATAAAGAGAAGGAAACACTTAACCAGTACAATGCCAACTGATAAACCTAGAAGACATGATTGAATTTTTTTAAAATCACCATTTGATAACTATCAAAGTCATAACTAATTCAGGCAAATATCAATAAATGTCTGAAAATGTTACATAGGTGAAAGTGACAGAAAAAAGAGTATTTACATGGTATTAAAGTATCTCCTCACAAAATAAGTATTTGCTAATTTAACATTCTTATTAATTAAATTTACAAGGGAGAAACCTGAAAGACACCTTCTCAACCAAGTAACAAAAAGTTTACCCCATGGTAATAGGATAAATCAACATCATGATACTGTGAAAAGCACAGCGTAATTTGTGTAATATTCCTGCAAAAACTGTATAAACCATGAGGAAATACTAAATAAAGCCAAATTGAGAGTTTACAAAGTAATCTGGCCTGTTCCCTTAAAAAAAATTGTCAAGCTCATAAAAGATAAGACTGAGAAACTGTTCCAGACTGGAGAAGACTAAAGACATATGACAGCTAAAAGTAGCACATGGTCCTGGATTTATGAAATCCATAATAAAATAATTAGTAAAATTTGAATGGAGTCTGAATTAGATGGTAATATTGGATCAATTTTAATATCCTGATTTTCATGGCTGTACTATGTTAGATGGGAGGGAATACTGGTGTTAAGAAGTACACACCAAAATATTAAGCAGGGTAACAGGGCACCACATATACATCTTATCCTCAAATGGTTCCGAATGTTGACAATGAGAGAACTTGGGTGAAGAATATATTGGAGCTCTATGTACTACTTCTGTAATTTTTATATGAATTTAAAATTACTTTAAAATTAAAAGTTAAAAAATAAAGTCCTTACTATATTCATTCTAGGACGATCTAAGTATAAAGTCTTCAGACTTATCAGACTGCCTATCAACAAGGCCACCTTCACTGTAATACACTAGAATTTTACTGTAACATTACCCTCTACAAAACAGTATTCGATATAAAATGGGTCCAACCTCATTCCATGAAGTTTAGATTCCGAAATTCAGACTACTCCCACTTTTCAACTGATTCACACTTTGTCATGTGGCTAACAGACAAACCTTCACAATTTCCCCCAACTTCCACATGAACGAAAGGAAGAGAAGATGGAGTAGTACCTTTCTATCACAATACAGCTCTACCAAAAAAAAAGAATCTCACCATATGTGGTTTCAGCCACAAAATGGACAGTTCAGGTAAACAGCTTCATAGCTTATACTTTGAAATATATAGAGATGTAAATATTTCTAAATTTTATTTTATTATAGAAAGTCTCTGAATTTCAAGTGTTTAAAACACTTTAAAGTTAACATGAAACTGTGATAAAACACTGAATAGGATTCAAAACTACAATGTTAATTTCCATCATTCAACTAGGTATCGACAGAAATGACACCAGTCACGTCTATTTCCTAATTTGCAAAACGAGGCTTGATAACTTACCCGCCTCATATCTCCTAAAAATAACCAATATGTGAAGTACTTCAAGTTTCTTAAAGGAAAACAAAAAATGAAATGAAGACGTAACAGAAGTCTAACAATCTTTGGGAAATAAGATATTCTACACAGCTAAGAGTCTGCTCTGTTAATTTTTTAAAATTATTTTGGCTGGAAGTTTTTCTAAACAATATTACCCACTTCTTTATATTAAATAGGATATACTATTTAACCATTTCATTAATCAGGATCATTATTATAAATGTTGCTTATTGGTATATAAGGATATCCTTCAAGCAGCTAACCAAGGTCCAGTTACCTGGGAACAGTTCCAGACAGAAATGCAATACTATGATGGTTTTATACAGGCACTGCATTAGACACAGAAGATAGGTATAGACTTTGGTCTAGCAGGGAGAAACGAACATATGAGAAATAAGCATATCTGGTAGCATATCTAGGGCTGCTGTGCTATTTCCATGGACCTGAGCCATCAAGGCACAGGGGAAGAAGTGGTTCCTCAGTGAGGCTGGAGGACAAGTGTGCTTCCAGATGTCACCACCAGTACCTCTCCATCTCCTTATTTTAGCACTCCCAAGGCCTGAGGCAGCGTTCCCCAAAACCAAACCCCAAGAGGCCTATGTAAAGTAGGCCTGAGATCTTCCCAGGAACCTGGATTTCCAGAAGAACTCCGGCTGCCTAACCTGAAGTTATGGTCTGGTATCTTTTTTGATATTTGGATGCCTTGCATGAGATACATGTTTAAAACCCCGCATACATAATTTCAGAGGCCAAATCTTGCAAAGATTAAAGGACAACTAAAAGCTAAAAGTTCTAATCTTCCTTTCAAGTTTCATTTTGTTCTTATTCTTAACTATTTATTGAGCGTTTGTTATGAACCAGCATTTTTATATACATCATGTAATTTACTCATCACAACCATGCTATAAAGTACGAGTAGGAATCTACAAAAGAGGAAATAGCTGAATCTTAAAGAAACTCACTTTCCCAGGTGACAGAGCTAGCATTAATAAACTCAGATAAGGTCTGCCTGCCAAATTAAATAAATCACTAGCAACAGCAGCCTCCATTTCACTTAAATACTAATATGGACAGAATAAGTATCTGGCCATTCATAAATACATATTTGAGAAAAACTGTCATGTGATATCCACAGACTATTACTAGAAGAATACGAAAGAAATTAGTAAGAGTGATAATTCAACCTGGATAGGAAAGTTAGGACACTAACGGTGTCAAAGAAAAACTAAACTGAACAAGTGGATATGGGTGGTATACGTTTTGGTAACTTGAACTTATCAACAAAAAAATGATAATTTAAAAAAAATTTATAATCTTTTTTGGCGTTTTACAATTCTTAATGCCCTTGATCTCCAATCAATGTTACCTTGTTTCTCCTGGAAGTAATCAACAAGTAAATAAGGTGGGGTAGGAACACTATTAAAAAAAAATTGATTATCAATTAAAAATAATAATAAATACATATTTAAGAGCTATTTTAAAAAGTGATTAAAAACAAAACAAAATACACAAATGCATGGGAATTTTGTCCCTACGCTACATTTTGCTACAACGGAATTCAAAAAAAGTTGGATTTACTAGCCCAATTAAATCCAAGGTAGTTAAATTATTCTAGCACTTCTCAACAGTCCTCGAGACCAGGTATTCCGGGTCTTTTTACCACTGTTACGAATCAAGGGCAGCAGAAGGGCAGCGTAGGGTTAAGATCCCGCAGTTAGGCCTGGATTCCAAGTTAGGCCCCTGTTCAGACATGCCAGGTGACCTGATTGACCACAATTTCGAGATCGGTGTGAAAAATTGCCTCACTGCCCCCCGCACCGGTACTCCGCGCCAACCCGAGAGCACATGCAAAGGGACGCGAGGAAGGTGCAGGTCCGCATGTCCCGGCCTGCCCCGAGGCCCTTTGAACTGCTCTCCGACCTGCCGCCCGGCAGGCCCGGCTCACTCACCGCAGCAGCTCCAAGCAGTAGCGGTCAGTGCCCGAGGCGCCCGGTCCGCTGGCTGCAGCCACGCTCCGCCCGGACCCCGCGGGCTCCGGGAGCCGCCGTGCGCGGATCCATAGGCCTTGGGGCGGCCTGCGGCTGCACAGGCCGGGGACGCCAAGCCGTAGCGGGCCCCATGCCGAGCCCAGCGTGGAGGCCGCCATGACACAGACGCCGCGTGCCCTTCGACCCCGCGCAGTTGGTGCGCGGCCACGCCCCGCCACGCCC